CCCATAGAAAGCTGACTTCGATTTGTTAATAATCGAAAAAATTTAACAAAAAGACAAGTAAATAGTTTGAAAAAGTCGTTTCATCCGCTCGCTCAGTGCGCGTGATGGATGTCGTAAGCACAAGCAGGTCTAGCCTCTAATCGACAATGATTCTAAGCCAATCAGCGCGCGAGAAATTTCCAAGTTATGGTAAAAATCAAATTCGATGGAACGAGGGCCCCAGGCTCATGAGTTAGTCAATTATTAGTGCTAACCTCGTAAAAGAAGGATGATTTTTTACTTTTTAGTGTTAACCAATCTCAAGGAAGAGCAAATGTTATTTTCTTTTTTATTCTATTTTTAGTAACAAATTAATGTCGTTGACTTTTCCAGGGTAAGAGAATTGTCGGTGCTACATGTTCAACTAATGTTGCGCTAGAGTACAATTTCAACTCGTATACAAAACCWAGCGGTGAGCGACTTTACCGATGCATGTGCAAAGGACAGTCATCCAAGTTTTTCTCGAGTACGATGCAGTTGTACTGCTATCTTAACTACTGGGAGTGTCCGCTGAACTGATCCACATCTAGGGATGGTAGTCTTGAAGGAATGAAATGGAATACAGAAGATACTATGAGGATTAATTCTGTATGGAAGATATTGTAAGAGCACGTCGTAGCAATAGACAGTTTTASATTGACGTTTTTAATTTTCTTCCCGCAAATAGCAAACGTGACCACGGTGGCATCGTTTTCCTGTATTTTACTTTAGCTTTTGCAAACCTTCTCACCACATACGTCTTTCGTTGTTCTATAGCGCATGCAGTAAAACCATGAAATAAAAACAAAGTTGATACTGAAAAATAGTAGCTATTTAGTGACAATAGTTGCTGTCATCCAACCAGAATCGAACATTTACTACGCCATATACAAATACACAAGAGACCATTTGTGTCTTTTGTGTAAAGAATGTTCTGGTTGAGGGATACGAACTATCAGTCACTAAATAGCTAATATTTGTCAGTATCAACTTTGTTTTTATTTCATGGTTTTACTGTATGCGCTCTACTACTTCAGTGGATTTTTTTGCGATTCCTTTTCAGTAATTCAAAATAATTTTTCACTGGTGAACTGTGGTTCCACGTCTGCCGTAAACATAAATCTAAAACTCTAATGAAACTGGAAGAACGTCAAATCGCAAGTRATAATATTTATGCATATTTAGTGTTATTTTGTGTCTAAGCTATAATTTTTTCAGTCATAAATTTTTATTATACACGCTTGGAGAAGGTGCACTGTAAACAATACTCCAGTTTCGAGTTCTCTGTTGCAGCTCAGGGTCAGTAGTTTCCATTTTTGTGCAGCATATTCATGTGTTCCAGTCAAGGTGCATGGAATTATTTCAATTTGTATTGTTTAGTTGAAGTTGTGCACTTTTTACTTTAGCGTTGAGGATAAGCCTGAGTAAATAAGTCTGTAATCACACAGCGGTAATTTGGAACTTGAAAATGATTGGTTTATGTAAGTGCGTCTGCTAGTCTATGCATTTTTATGAACTGGTATTGATGAAAGTGCGCATGCTCACAAGATCWATTTGTGGAAGTGCGCGTGAATGGAACAGTCCATTTATGACAATGCTCATATCATGCTAATGAGCATGCTCAGGACTGTTTTCGCTGTTCAACCATTGCGCGTACATGCTCATGGTATATTATCTATTGTTGCTAATGCGTATGATATGCATCATAATGATAATTATAATCTAATTTTTAATGAGCATGCGCACAGAATGCGGG